TTTGCAAACAACAGCACTCATGCAGTCCACCTCATTTCTGTTAAAACATAGGTTTTAATTTAACTCAAGTAATTAGTACTCATCATCCACATAAAAAAAAATCCGAAAAGATACAGAACATATTGAAAGTTCACAGGTTAGTTTTAAAATTCTGTTCCCAATCCTAACCTGCACATTAGAACATACTTCAGAGGCACCAGGCAAGAAAAATCCAAGCAGGAATTGATTGTCTTATATGTTAACCATGAATACTCTGGAAATGATTTAAACTTTTCTATGAATACAAAGAGTGTTGATGATTTAGTTTTCTATATGCTAGCATACAGTCAACATAATGTACAAAACTTGGCACTAGAACTGCCTCTTTCAGAGCAATACAGTCTTCAAGTGCTCTGTAACCTACAGTCCAAAGTAATTTCCAACTTTTTTGGAAATCATCTTTTATACTATTCTACCCAACTTTTCTATTAAAAATAAATGTAGTTTGGATTTTTGTTTAAAAAGCTTCTTCTCCCACAACTTGAAAAACAAGTATCAAAAAGGAACAAACAGCAAAAATAGAAGAAATAATCATATTGTGCTAGTTACGAAGCTTTGACACCTGACAGCCACAGCTTGAAGAACATCAAAAAATTCCTATATACAAATTTTACATATACAATAAGATTAAGAGGTTTAAAAAAAACTATTACCGGTTTTGCATTTTTTCCACAACTTCTGCATCTAGGTGCAGCTCATGCAAATGCAGTTTCAAGTTCAATATTGTGCAATACTAGGAGACTTTTCTGTTTGGTCTGGCAACTGAATTAGGATAATACTTCCAATTACAGGCATCAAAAAATGGACGCCTTTCATTTGAAAAGTTAGGCCTTAATTTCTTGGGTAAAACATAGCATATTTAGAAGTTCTAAAGCCAAGCAGGTCTCTCATCTCATTTCGGAACTTTGATAAGTCTTGACGCAGTTCGTTCAGGTTTTCCACAGTCGCCTGATCTGTACTTTGCATCTTCTGTCTCATGGAAGTCAAATAACGATGGACTAAGCAACACATCACCTTTTGATAATTCTCATCTCTCTTTTGCTTCAGATTTCTCCATTCCTTTAAACAATATTAAACATTTGTTATGCAAAAGTTTGAGCCCTAATATGGTTCCGTTATAGAGCAAACAAACAATTTCAACAAGCATATATATATCCTGACTTGTGCAGGTGTACAAAGCATATAAATTGTCAGCCAAATTTACATAAAATGATAATCTACTGTTCCAGCAAAAAAGTTTTCATCTAGCAGGCTTGGTTAATAACTGTATGAACAATTAAGACTTCTGTAATCTTTAATGCTCATTTATAAGTGTACATTCTATGAGGTCTTTGAATACAGTTTTTTAAAAATCTATTTTTATCCGCAAGGAGATGCAAAATTAGTATGCGTAATTGCAGGGTACAATGAAAGTGTTTATTCAAGAAAAATAATCCCTCCTTCCCAAGATGAGAGGTTCCAGTATTCCTTGTTGGTTACTTATTTCAACAACTCTGTAATAAGCTTAAAACCAATTACCTTCCCAAAGCATACACTAACCTCATCATTTTTTGAGATTAGCACATACTTCCTTGAGGGCTCAATACTTTCTTCATAAGTCAAAGCATGTTTCCAGACTACTGCTAGGGCAGGAGTGTTACTGAAATTGCCTCAAACTGGAGGTTAATACAATCTTATTTAAACATAAATAGGTAAAATTTATTTTCATTTATATTTCGGATGCAACACATCATCCAACAGTTCCTATTTTACTTTAGTAGTGCTCACCATGTGACAGGCACCTTCATGCAGCAACTTACTGATTCACTTCCCAGTTTCAGTGTCTCCAACTTTCCAGATCATTTCTTACCTTTAGGCTGTTCTGACGTTTTACTTTGCCACTTGATGTATGAGAGCAGATCCATTTACTGAGGCTGTTGAAAAGATAGCAAATAGTCTTGGGAGAGGGGATGACATTGAAAGGTGGAGGTAGAGTGCATTTGTCATCAAAGTAACTAAGCCAAAGCTTAGCACGAGCAAACTTCCACTCCTTGTCTTCGTGGTTCTAAAGTATCAGAAACATTAACAGAGATCAGAAGCAAAGTAATAAAGAACATAAAAAATATTTAAAGGCTATTTCAGAAAGTTGCATTTTTTCCTCATAACTTAAAAACTGATTAACTTTGATTATATATAATTTTAACATTTTAATACATAAAATTATTAAATAATCATAGTACACATAAATATTCAATTCATTATGTTATCTAGCTTAAATTTAAAATTCAGCTACTCAGGTAGTAGGCTGAATAGGTGAAGCCAGCTATTTGGGTAGATATTAAATACCTGAAGTTACGAAGTACCACACACCCTGTCAAAAATAGCATCTTGACTTCAACAGCTGCTGTAGCAAGAAAGTCTTCAGTTCCCAAAAGGCCAAAGCCTTGCACATTTTCAACATGCAAAATTTCTCCAGCTTATTTTTATTTCAGTGCAATAAGTGCAACATTTTCACATCAAGGATGAGAATTGTGAACAGAGAGTTAGAACTCTCTGATAAATGCTTATTAGACATTCGTTCACAGAATTAATCTACCCATTGTAATAGGTAAATTGTACAACATGCAAGTTACTGCTAGAACTTATTCATAATTAGTCGGAAACTACTTACTGCAATCAGTTGAAAACTTTTATGAAGCATTGCCACCAGGAGTTTAGTTAATACTATCACAACCACCACGTTGTAGGTACCCACAATTACAGCACCCACAAAAGACTGCAATTCTTCACCATAGCTAAAGCGTGTGACAAAGATTGCTACATGTGCCAGGGAGAATATATACCAGAACAGAGCAAAACATGTGCCAATAAACCTATAAAACAAGAAGAAAATCTCGTTAGATAAAATAAACATCAGATGTGAACTCAACGTGAATCAAATTTCAGTGAAACAGAATAAAATAAAATTGGAATGTAAGGTCCAGAATAATATGGATACTTCAAAGATACCAAACTCACGAATGGAACGTGTCGTTGCTCTGCTGTTCACAGAAAATTCCTGCACAGTCCTTTTCTTCATTTACAGTAAATCCTTTATCATAAAGTTGTGTCAACCCAATTGTGAATGAGAACAAAACAAGAAGAAACATGCCCAGAAATTTTCCAAAATCTTGCAGCATCTGGCCCATCGAGATCTGTGAAATAGATTTATTCCCAGTCTGAGTAAAAACATATAATTTTTTTTTTGTTCAGCCTCTTAACATGCTCCTCCCCAAACCTATTTATTTTTGTTTGTAAGTATTTGTTTAATGTGTAAGATACTAGGGCAACCACAATATTGGGAGGTGTCTTTATACCTCACATTTGACATTTCAGTGATATTTCCCAACTTATGTAATTTAGGAATTTTAATGTAAAATGATTTATTTTTAATAAATCATAACTGATATGTGCACATTTTTCTCATCGTAGTTTATTACAGAAGGTAATTAGGGGCTTCCAAATCAATAAATAAAAACAATATATGATATGCATTTGAACACAAACACCATCACAGAAAGGTGAGAGCGCACTTTATACGGACATGGAAATAAAGCATTTGGTATCATAATTACAATAATTATGGAAATCTGTTCTCATATGAATCACACCATGCACCAAACAGCAGGCTGCAACAGAATCACTGCTCAGCTCTTCAAGGACGATTTCCTGGGAGATGAAGCGCCAGCTCCTGCTCCCCCTGGGCCACCCAGCCCTGCTGCGGGGCCGGTTCCCTCTGACTCCTCGGCTGCGCAGGGAAAGGGCTCCCAGGAGCATCAGCCACCGCAGGCAGAGCTGCACCGTAACTGCTGCTTGGCCAGAGCACACGTCTGCCCCCATCAGAGTATTTCCTAACTTCTGGCCTTCTAGAAAACTAAATGTTTCCTGGTCCCAGACAAGAGACACAGAAGTAGTTAAAACAATACGCACCAGAAATGCAAATCTCCCACAGTTAATTTGTTTGGAATACTGTGCAATAACACAGCCCAAATACCAGCTGTGTTCTTCAGATAGTCATAGTATTGCTTTCTATTTTGAATTTCAAAGCACTTGAAAGTGGATGAGTCAGTCAAACCAAACCTAGGGCAATACCATTCTACCTTCTGCTAAAAAATCCTTTTCAAAAATGATAGTCCACTTAAAAAACTGTATTAAAATAAGTTTTATTAGTCAGTAAAATAAATGAACTCTTAAAAATAGCAGCCAGTAGCCAGAAAGGCAGTAGCTGCCTGGCTCCACCCTCCTGGGTTGCCATGCCGTATTTGATTACCACCATTTGAACTTTGTGACCTACTTTCAGAAAATACTGTAAGAGTTGTTGCACAGGCTGTACTGGCCAACAGTAATAACATAAGCTTCAGTGTGCCACTGAATGGGGTGACTGTTGACTGTTTTTATTTACTTGGAAAATTTCATAACACAACCTCCTAATAAAAAAAAAACTGTGAAAGATCTAGTACATAAATAAATAGCACATTAAACAGTGAACCTCTTTAGAATATGTGAGAGACTTTAATGTTCAATTTGTAGGACAAGCCTAATGCAACATCAAGATTTCAATATTTTTTTCTAAGTATGCAAGTAGATTACAGCTTTTCTCTAGTTGTCACTACATAACTATAGGAAAGGAGCAAGAATTAAAAAGAGGAAAAAATACAGGCATTTTCCAGTTAAATTTGCTACAGAAAACCTATGAACATTCTATTTAAAGTGCCTTTTAGCATGATCTAAGAAGATAGCAACTAAATATTTCCCTTTATTTTATAACAGAAATACTATGCCAAATCTAACAAAAATATTATAAATAATAATTATTTGTAAAGCAAAATTAAGTACTCTAATTCAATAAAATGACTTGAACCTTCAATGTGGAAGTTCTCAGCTATTCCCTGAAGCAAGACCTGGTGATCTGAGCGAAAATTATTTACTCCAAAACCTCTGTTAGTGTAACTTCAGCTGCAGAGGTAGAGTTAAAAATACACTGCTCTCAACAAAAAATATCTATTCTACCTTTGTGATTGGTAACCACAAAGTTCCTTGCAGGATCGTTTCAAACTGTTCATTTTTGAGAGAGGTTCTTAAAACCAGTTCTGTTCAGTGGAAGACACAGTATTGATTTGACCTATTAGGCAAGCTGCACCAACATAGTCACTGACTGACTACTCCATTCAGCCCACATATCTTCTCATTCATCACACACCTGTAATCATAACAATGATGTTGCCAATCAACTATATTAACTAGACACCATTGCTATCCGGTAAGGGAAAAAAACAAAAACCAAAACACAAACAGAAAAATACCACACACCTGCAGACACATCTGTAGTATAAATATTGAGCTACAAACACACAACCTCAGATGAAAACAAAGGAAGTAGATGCATAATTAGGGGCAAAAATAAAACAGAAAACTCACTTTAAAAAATGGGAGCTGACACGTCTTCAATTCTTTATCTTACCTTTCTCCTCCTAAATCAGTGTATTCTACAGCATTAAGAAAACATCTATGCAGTATTACTTCTAATTTCTACTTCTGATTTCTATCGTTGTCTGTAAGGATTATCAATCAAATTTTGGATTGCAAATTAAAGATCAAGTTAAATATTTTCCTCAAGCAGTAACAATATTCACCTGGAGTGGTCCCAGAATAGAGCTTGTTGTATACATGAAGAAGAGTCGTAGATAACTAAGAACATTAGCGAAAGCGAAGAGACCTTCTGCCACTAGGGTAGGGTGAAATGCATCCCAGTCCTTCCTTTCAGCATAATCATGGAACTGGAATTTAAAAAGTACAAAGTGAAATCACTTACATTATAAATACATAAATGCACTTATGGATCCCTTCCCATTCCTTCCTCCAGAACAGGTAGGAGCATAAAAGAACTTTAACACATATGATTTATAGATAAAGAAAGCACTAGTATTTCTTGCTGCTACAGAGACTCTTCGTTTATTTTTAAGAGCCTCAATATTTTTAAAGTGGAAACAATATGCTAAATGGACATTTTTATTTGGCTTTCTACAGAACCACAATGGATAAAAAATTTTGTTATGTAAAACTGAAAAAAAAGTCATCTTTGTTAAATAGGACAAAAATCCTTCACCTTCAAAAGGATAAAGACTTAAATCAGCAGCAAAAGGCTCTTGTCACAGCAAAGGGATTACCACTACAGGCATGCAGATTCCAAAGCATAAGGCTGGGAAAGCAGCCCAGCCCAGCAGTCATACTCTCCTTTTTCCAAGAAATGGAGCTTTCCTTTCCAAATATTACCAGCCTCTCCATCACTAATATAAGGACAGAAGAAGCGAGTCAAATACCATGTTTGGAAGACGTGAACTAGTTTCTTTCCCTCCCTGCTGCCAGACAGTTATCAATTTACAGTTTGCAATACAAAATGATGCTGCTACTGCACAGGCCTGGATTTTACCCAAATATCCATCTTTAGATCTGGCAGCTTGCCATATGTCGCACCATTAACAACACAAGCAAAAGAAAGGAAAGGATAATTTTCAAAACATTATCTTCAAATACATATGTTTTTTCACAGAGAAAATACAATACTCCTCTGTGGTCTTGGAATTAAGTCTTCTTACTACACAAAACACTGTTGGAGCACATGAAAAGCTTTCAAAAGCTTAAATAAATTTTTGTAACAAACAAATGTTAGGCAATCTAAATACCGAGGCTATCTCTGTATTGTTTTGATCACACAGAGGGCTAGCTGACATGCCAAATCATACAAGCTGCTTTGGGAGCTTTCCCCAAATGCAAACCAAGCCATTTGGAAGATAAGGAAAAGGGCAGTAACTCTGAGGGCCCTGACTACATGGAGCTGCCCTGGTCCTGCTGCATCTTGGACTTGAAAACAAAGCTGACCAGGGCAGATCCATGTAGTTAGAGCCCGAGGAATTACTGTCCTCTTCCTTATCTTCCAGATAGCTTGAAGCTGGAAAAAGCTCCCAAAGCAGCTCAAAATCCTGTTCGCCCAGCCAGCTTCTCCTTCAGGTCCTAAGTGCAGCAGGACCATGGAACTAGACAGCTACATGGCACACAGGACACGAGCTGAATGCCCAAATTGTATCCACCCTGTAAACTACTACTAACACAGTGCACATCCCTACAACTTACTGTACCTAAAGTGTCTTTACATATTTTGCAGAAACCTACTAAATTTACTGTTACAGGGAGAAAAAAAAAAAAAAAAAAAAAAAAAAAAAGCTAGTTCATCAAATGCATATATTTGCTATCAAAGCAAAACAGCGAACAGCGGTACCAAAGCAAATTATAATCCTTCTAGCACTGTCTCTTCCTCAATTATAACCTCCATTTTCTGTGAAAAGGAAACAACTTCTGTATTTGCCCAGTCAGTCCCAGAGTAGCAGATTAATCAAAAAAGGGTGTTCACCTTGTTATGGGCAACAACTTTGAGAGCAAATGTTGCCAAATACAAGGAATTCATGACAAAACTAAGCTGATTACGAGACTCTTCTAAGAAGTCTTCCAAACCATCATACCAGAGCCTCTTAACATCTGACCACACCATTCCTGCAGGTGGGGGAAAAAGGAAGAGAAAAGCATTAGTAATAATGTAAAAGATGCTTAACCTCTTTAAACATTCTTTCCAGCAAGGAACCAATAAAGATGGCATGAGGAAAAATGAATGGGAAAATAGCATGGGAAGGGAAAGGTAAAAGCAAAGAGGGAAAACAGCTTAGTAACTATGGTTGGAAAGATCCAAATGTTCAGTAGAAATGTTTCTTACAGTAATGACACCAAGTAACAAGTAACTTATACGAAAAGATACCACGGCTTAAGACTCAAAAAAAAAAATTTAACCTAGAGCAATGAGCATTTAAAGATTAAGGATTTTCATTTTCATTGATTTTTACTATTGTTAAGAATGCCTGACAGAGAAATGCAGAATTTTACTAACTGAATATCTGTTACAGACTCACGTTTTTATATAACTTGAAAGGACCTTTAAATGAAATACACTGACACCTTTGATTTCTGTGAATAATCAGTTATTTAATATTTTTGAGTACCTTAAATGAATTCTACTATATTTAGAAATGGAAGAAAAGCAGCATTTATGTAACTGTTAGAGAATTTGCCACGTCCCGAAAGCTAGACTGAGTCTAGTAGTTTTTAACTACAACTTTGGTCTAGTAAGAAGAAAAATAAAGTGAAAAAAGAAGTATTTATGCATGACTGCTGAATCAGTCTTGCTGCAATGTTGTGAGGGTTAAAAAGAGAGAGTGTGCAGAGTTAGAAAGGAATGTAGATCTCTCTTTTTCCAGGTTACACACAAAATCTCTTGAAACCTGAATCTAGGTACCCCTCTCATGAGATCAGCATGCATTTTAGCTGAATTTGTCAAAACAAACAGTAAAAGGAGCTGGATAAGTAGTAGATGCTGCAATGCTATGTTATTTAGAAAAAATGAGTTTGCTGCCTATTTTGCTAGGGCATTTTTATCATCCAGGTTCAAAAAGTTTAAAATATTACATGAAGGAATTAAAGTGCTTTCTAGCCTTTCACTAAAATTTTCAAGACCACTTCATGTCAGACTTTTGTCCACACTAGATTTGAAAGAATGATTGCAATCTTGGTTTCAAAAAGCAAGTTAAAAGATGTCTAAGATTAGATAGTAAATCTGAAGACGAAGAGCGTTTAATACCTCCAGATATACACTACTAAAGACTTCACTTTTAAGACCTGCATGTGTTTCTTTTCAGCATCCACACAAAGTACTAAACAGCTAACTACTAAACAGTGAACAACTATATCATTATTAAACTCACATATTTATTTGCACTATACTAAGGAAAAGTTCTCATATATTCCTCTATCAAATTCTTATCTAAATAAAACCAACACAGGCTAAAAGACCTTATGAATTTTCATTTCATACAAAAGTTCACAAGGAAAAATTATACCTGTGCTCCCTCTACTGCATCAACTAGAATTAACATGTATACTTTTAGGTATTCTGGTAATAGTAACAATAACATAGAAATGGAAAAATTATGAAAAGGAAGGGGTGGAAAGAGGGGAGAGACTTGTTCCTGGCAATATTTTAAAACAAGAATGAGGGAACTTCTTGTCCTATTTATTAGAACTGAAATTAAAACAAATTAAAACTGAAATTAAAACCAAGCAGTGTGGGCGTTGATTTATGACTGTAAACAGCCTGTTTACTCCAGTAACTCGTAATTCAGAAAGAACAAACAAAAAAACTTGTGTAAAACACATGAATATTTCTAATACACTTGTATCCTTAAATGAAGACCATAACTAATTACGAATGAGTAATTTGGTGACGAATACTTAAATTCTAGAACAATTCTTTATGTCGACATATAAATAATCGAGTGGCTGAGACCATTATCTTTTTTATATAGAAATGTGAGAACCTGTAAGATGTTTAAAAAATGCTAGATTGCTGGTAGATGTCTTCTCGTGTTTGTTGTTGTTTTCATAAAAAAAATGACTTAAAACAATTAAAAATGCTACATCATAAATAATCTAAAAATCTAAGGTGGTATGTAAATTAATTTTATTCCTAAGTTTAGCACGAAGGAAAATCAATTAACTGTAGGCTTATATTTGTTACAAAACTGTTAATTTGAGGAACACATATTTGCTTTCCACTTGTGCTTTCTAAGTCAGTACTTTCAAATGCCCCTAAATCTAGGAAAATATATAGCTTTTACAGTAATCATTACACAACTGAATCTCACTGGCATCAATCCAAATGCTATCAGTCTCTCTGAAGTTAAATTTGGTTCCTCCTGTCAGATCCTGTAACCTTCTGCCTCTCTCAAGCTTTGCTTTCATTGATAACTAGAAACTGTTGTAACATATCACATTCCTTCACTGAAAATGTGTTTTGTTTCCGTAACACTTCCCTCCACAGTACGAACCTTGGTTGAGCAACGATTAACATGCTGAATTCATGAAGCTGGAATACAAATCATTATTGTTACATCAATGCCAGAAATTTTAATCTACTTTATCCAAATCATACCTACCAATTAGCCATATTATCAGAAGATAGTCTATTCTTTCAAGTGCTGGCCCCATTGTATTCTTCTTATTCTCATTGTAGACCAGGGAGTACAAATTAAGCAGTAACAGAAATGTGAAATATGAAGCCCCATGAATAATAAACTTCATAAAAGGAGTGTGAATTATTCGACCCACTCGAGATTTAGGGGCTAACAAGTAACACAGCGACAGGACTGGCCAGAAAACGCCAACTGCCAAAACAGTCAAAATCTTCTTGCAGGTGTGCTTGCGCCGGTAGCCTGCCATCTGTCCAAACCACACGGTGTTAAGAAACTGCTGGCAGTTAGACTGAGCAACAAACTGGGAGAAGGGAAAAAAAATAGAGAGAGAGAAAGAAACAACAAAGAAATCAACTACAGGTTTCTTAATAATGATTACTAATACTATCTTTGGGATTCATTTTCATACTACATAAAGCCACTGAAAATGTGGAAATGAGAACACCATTAAAGTTGAACTAATGCTCTCTCATCCACTGTTTTAATTTCCTTCTAAAGCCAGCAGCTAAACAGGGAGTACATATACTAGAGCTTCAAAGGTTGTCAGGTTACGGTATTTAAATAATGTTACACCCCAAGACACCTCCATTACCTGTGTCCTGACGAATAAGATATCATTACTGTAAGATACTATCCACATTGTAAACACAATGCCATAGTAACACCAAAATGACCATGCAATTTTATACGTACTACTTAAAATCATTATGGCTCTGTAAAGCAGGGGTAACTTTAAAAAAAAGCAAGCTATGTTGAACTAGCCCCACAACAGGAGAGAGCTGGTCTGAAAAATATGTAGACTATGTAGCTTCAAACTATAGTTGCTGATTTGCATATAATTAAAAAGAATATATTAACCCTACAGCAAAGTTTATAATTTAATTTCAAAACTGACAAAAACAACTCTGATATTATCAAACTTTAGAAAGCATCATGAGAAACAGCCACAAAACTTGGCAGCAGTGAAATACATTCCTCAAAGACTATTTTCTTCACATTAAACAAAGACAAATTCTACTCTCATCTAACTACTATTGCTTAAAAACAAAACAAAACAGTATGCTCATTTAATCCATACCAGAACTGTGTAAGGCTAATCTAAGGTACTTGGTAACAGAGGCTTGTGTCTTTTAAACACATTTTAAGCATTTTAATAGTTAAGTTTAAGATGAGGAAAAGTTTCCAGAATTTCCTGAATTTCTAAATAAAGAAAGAGTAAACAACAAAAGGTGAAGAAAATTATGCCATACCTTCTTTTACTATAGTCTAAACTCTCATTTTATTAATTACTGAAGATTTAAATCTGAAAAAACAGCTTTACATAAGACATCTTGGGCTTTTCTTGCAATTTTGCATATTATCATTATCAATTACGTAAAAAAAAAAAAAAAAAGAGAGAGAGAGAGAGAGAGAAAGAAAAAACCTTTCTTCCTGGCCCTTGTATTAGAATCCCACAAACACCTATATACTCACAGCATACAGAGGCTCTATTATTCCAGAGCAGAGGTCCTACTTAGTTATACAGTATAAGTCTAACAATTACTGAACACCACAGACAGGGTTGAACCAAAGCTGAAGAGCTCATGAGAAATGAGAAGATAAACCCTGTGTGCTACCTAATGATCCCTATTTCCCTATTAAGGGAAAATACACAATTGTGAATACACAATAACTACTACTAGAGCTGGTGGCAAGGAGTAGTAGTCTGTGTATCACCATGTTCTTCTAAAGAAACATAGGAAAAATATATAGAAATAGTACTGCAAGATACTGAATGTTTCACCTGCAAATATTCTCTGTATTACCTTCTCCCCTATCACTCTAAGTTTATTTCCATTTCTATGTCTCGAGGCAGAATCAGAAAATGAATGAATCACAAGCGAAATATGATATGGGAAGTCTATGAAACTACAGCAGACAAACCTCCTTTTGATTATACTTGATTGCAAGTTTTAAGCGACTTAAATTCATCCTCTCTTCCAGTAGTCCTCGCTTGTCTACATGCTCATCACTAGATGTGTGATTTAGAATAACTTCCAGCTCCCGTGAATTCCGTGCCTGTGCAAGCAAGTCTTTAGCAAAGGTTTTGCACTGCTGGGCTAGTTCCTCATAATCATTTCTGAGGAACAAAACAAAAAAAAAGCAGATAAAACACACTGATAAAACAGTTTTGACTAATTCATTAACTATTTATGTTCAAAACAGATTGTTATGGTAAGTCAAAAGGAAAAAAAAATCAAATATTTCAAGTATTCTTAAGATAACACTGTGTAATTTTCTCTACATAACAATTACATTACTTTAGATCACTTTACAACTCCACTAGATAGATAAAAAGCTAAGAAACAGTTAATTCTTAGCTTTTATTTCTTTCTCGGGGACCACATGAAGAGTTGAAACTTAGTGTTATTTTCAGGAAATGAGAAAACACAGCAGTCACAAAATAAGTAATTTCTTAGTTTTCTACTTATAGGATAAGAAGTTTTGGATTTTCCTTTGATTCATGCCACTTGAAATTTGAAGTCTATTCACTAAATAATATTTATCGATATGATAAATGTAAGAAAAGAAATCACGATATGTTTGTCTCTCCTAACGATCTATTTCAATGACAAGGTATATCTCAAATTATGCCAGTTATATACTTAAGATAAATGATCAGCTACTCTTCACTATCTTTATTTATAGAAGATTTTTTTTGTTCTCAGAAAAATAGAGTTTGTTGCTATTAAGTTTCAGAAATGGCAAATACATGCAGTTCAGCTTTCCTATGTTATTAAGAGCAAAATTAAGAAATATAGTGTTACTTAAGTGTTACATGCTTCCATCTTGATGTTACCTTAAGAAAAAACATTGCAAACATGCTTCTAATGAGATACTCATATGATTAAAAGCTGTATAATCCTGAAATAAAACCACAGTTTTACTCTTGCTTATTTTTCCAGAGTAGAGCCGAAATTTGAAAACTAATCACTTTGGACTGTCTGCACCAAAAATATTTAATTCAGTCTTGCAAAATACTGATGTTTTAAGTATTACTTTAAAACCCCTCGTTATGAAAAACTGACAATACACCTTTTCTAATGCACGCGCATTTCCACTTATGTCATTTCATGCAAGTATTACGGTAGCTTTGTGATTTACTCAAATCCTACCTGAATTCAACCTCAACAAGACTTAACTCCTTCAAGTCTGCACTAAGTTCAAAAGCTCGCAGGATTGGATCCTCCTCTGTCAACATTATCAAAGCAGGACTGGCCAGACACCGATAAATGTCCAGACGAAACCTGTGACCAAAGAAAAAACAAGCACATGAAGTGATTTCTTTTGATTAGTAGTTTCAATTCAAAACAATGGAGTTTGAAAGAACAATGATGTTTCTTAAAATTAGAAACTAAAAGTATTAAATGTCCTTATAAGTACATAACATACATATGTGCATATGACAATGGCAGAAATTGTTTTTAATCCAATTCCATCGTCCTTCATATACTTAGAATTCCCATTATTTGAGTATCAGAGCCTGCCAAACTGGTGCCTTTTCTTCTTTTCCCTACTGCTCTTTCAGCTGTTACCAGCACATCAGCAGAAGGTCACCAGTTAAGGAAACTGCTAAAATCTTGACAGTTTAAAGCATTACACAGTAGTACTTATGGCACAGTGTATATAAATAAAAACCAAAGTCTTAATCCTAAACCTTCCTCACTTCAAAACAAACTCAATCTGTGCCAGCAGCTCTCTCTAGCCATTTTTATGCAAAGAGCTGTTACTCTCATGCTCTGCTCAGCCCTGCTACTGGACGCAGATCAGTATAAGCAAAAATTTGGGGGTTCCCCATCCTTTACAGTAATTAAGTGGTCCAAGCTCTCGATCATTATTGAGGTGAGTTAGTCAAACTCCTGTCCCCACTCCAGAGGCAGACAAACTTCCTAAAACGGGTTTTGAATCCTATTCAGTACAGTTTGAAGTCTATGATTTACTAAAACATAATTCAAGGTATCAGGATCTGGCCTAGAATAGCTTAATATCAGTATCAGCGATCCTTTTATTCCCTTTCTTTTTTAGATTCATCATTTGGATACATGCTGGAATAATTCCAAATGAAATACTGTAATTGCAGCCCATTTATCTCTAAGTTCTGATTTTTCTGAAAACCAAAAATTCATATATATTAAATTGTATTCAGTCTTCAAATATATTGCTTCCAACATACAGATTTATTTTCAAAGCAGTAAATTCTTCATTTGTATCTCTACTGTAAAGACTTATGTTTTCCAAAATATTGAAAAAATACTGGTTTCGGTTTACACTGATCATCCCCCGCTACATAAATCTAAACACTCTTGGGAATACATGACATAGAATTATGAACATTCTCACCCCAGCTCAAAAAAGGCAGCATTAATCATCATAAGAAAAAATTTGCTTAGTTCATATGCTCTCGAAGTAGGGGGAAAAAGAGCTTAAAATGAATTGAATGAACGTGTGAATGTGTGAATGGTCTTAAATGAATTAAATAACAAGAAATAAAAAAGCCACTATCTCTCACCAGCATGTCCAAGCACAACTCATTCCTAAGAACAAATACATCCCTTGCAACAGAGGCTACAACATATTAAAAGGATCCACTGATAAACATCACATGAGCAATACTGGAAAATTAAGGTAAGATTTATTTCATTAATGTCATTATTTAGCAAGTCTTACCTGGAATGCCGTAGACTATCTTTTTTGTTCTTTGCAGTACAGAGTGTGCATTCACAGCCTACAGCATGAGGTTTGGGTAATGATATATCCTGTTTTAACAGCATAGTGAGAATTTCATAGTTGTTACGATGAGCAGCTAAAATGACTGGTGCAACATCCATGGTTGTTGAGTACTCTGGATTCTGAATGCGTTCCATTAGTTTCTGCAATAAAATGTAGAAAGTAACTAAATTTATTTCATACAGTTTTGTAACAATGTTTACAAGTACATTTATCTTGACTGTTCAAAATAAAGACACTCAAGATATAGCCACTCTTTTTTTTTTTGTCTTCCAGACTAATTAGGTATCTGCTAACCTTCAGCATTTATATTTATAAGGCTACTGAATACAGGCAGTAAAATAAAGTGTTCTGTCCTCTAAGCTAAAAGAAGCCATAAAAATATTATCTGATGCCAAGCTCCTTAGAGATGTGGAACTTAATGTTGATGTTTTAAATAGCATATTTACCCTGAAAACAACATAATCAACCATTCCCTGACCAAAACCCAAGAATCAAGAACACTCAACTACAATGGTTGGTCTTGAGGATCTTTTCGGTCGGTGATTAAGTAGAATGTCCACAGCTCCCACCACTTCCGAATCAATAGCCACCAAAAGTGCATCTGATGACTAAGGGAAGAAAATGGGTTATATGTGAAAAGAGCAATTTTTAAAACGGCATAAAGAGTTAATTTGAAGCCAAATTGCAAACTTGTCCCCCTTCTCTCTCTCTCTCTTTTTTTTAAGGTTCTATGAAAAGCCTTTTAAAACAAGGCTATGTACTATTACTGCGTGTACAGGTGGTCATTCCAAGAGCTAGCCTGGCATTTATTGACTTCTTTTTTTTTATTGCACGAACAAGAGAATAAGAAAATGTAGAAAATATTTTTAAGCAAAGAAGATGCAGGACCTTCAAAAAATCAAGTTATAGGGGACAGGTTACCTGGCAGGCTGGGAAATGTTTGGCTGGGAAACCCACATTTATACTCAAATAAGAGAGAGAGACACATACACACAATTTTAATTATTGGAACTGAAAATGAGATCTAAGGAGGAGTTCAGGTACCCAAAAGCATCCTCTTCATTTTTTTCCTCATCCGATACTATACAACCCCATAAAAGATACTAGTTTCCCTGACAGCCTTCACTGCCTTGTGCCTTTAACTACAACTCTCCCAGAAGTAGCAGAGATGTTGCATTTTGCCATGCAAGCATTGGACAAAGAAGCTGCCTCTGCCATAGTGCTCAGAATCAGTTCAACACAAAGCTGGGCCATTACCTGAACCGTCCTGAACTAAAGCAAAATTGACAAATGTTTTAGAAGCAAGTTGCAAGGCAAAAAGTGAAAGTTAAAACAAGGGACACACAGACTCACACTGAGCTAAGTAAGCCTAAGTCAAAGCTCCACCACACTTAAGCATATCTAAACACAGTGTAGGCAGAAATTAATGAATTCAGGTAACCAAAAGGAAACTTAGAAACCCATATATGATTTTTATACACACACACACACACATAAATCTATATAACTGATAAATAGCTTATGCCAAATAAGCCACATATGCTACATACACACAGAGCTACGTACATTCTGAGAAACCTTATCTAATGGCAAAGATACTGTTGTTTTGAGCACGGATTTGGACCAGGTGACCTCCTAAGCTCCCCTCCAACCTGTTATACACAACTCTGTAATTACTTGATAGCTCAAAACAAACTTTGATATTTTTGACACATTCCAGATGAATTCTGCACTACAGAAACATCCTTTTGCCTTAATTTAAAGTCATCCAAGATGATATGTATTTTTCTAACTGAACTTCCATTCTAAAAGCTCCTAAACTCCAGACCCAAAGAGACCTCTGTGTTCTAAACACTTTAGTACTAGGAAATTTAACTAGATGCTACTTCTTTTGCTTGAAGATAATGCATACAATTTTTTGCAGGAACAACAGGAATAACATTTAAAATAAGATTCAGAGTTCTGTTAACATTGTTGAAAATGTCAACATACATTTGCCATGCTAATAAATTGCAGTAGAAAGGCAGGCTAGTGAGAAGAAGACACCTTCTTGATTACTAGGTGAATATAAGAAATTCTGTCCCTTTAGGGCCAAACTTTTTTTTTTTCCCTCTAGATTTGGAGAGTTTAAAAGAAAGCATAAATAACAAGGAGCATATGCAGATTAATGACTACACTGAAAAATTACAATAATATATGATCTCTGTTACATACCTGGCAGCCATAATCCAAGAGAAGTTGCAGTATGTCCAAGTTTTCATTCTCAATGGTTATGGTAACTGCATTTCTTCCAAGCACATCCACACAGTTTATGTTCATTTCACCTGAACTGTTTTCCTCGAGAAGTTTCTTAACCATGTAATAGTCACCTAAAGAAAGCCATGTATTAACACATACCAGTGTTCTTCATTAGAAAGCAATACAAGCAAATTACTGTTGCACAAAGCAGCTCCTACCAAAGAAGGTAATACTGCACAGTATTTGACAACAAACATGTAACACACAGGGCAGCTCAGCAGTCAGGGTTGACAGGCATTCTCACATCAGCTGTGAAGCTAGAGGTATTTTGCAAGGTGCCTTTCAGGAAAGCGCTAAGACAAGCACTTTAACCGGCCCCTTTAGGTACAGAGTGTTAAAGCCGGCTCTCCCGTGCCGCTTCGCGCCGGTGCCCCCAGCGCAGCGCAGCAGGGCCCGCTGCAGCCAGGCGCTCGCCCGCGGCACCTGCCCGGGTCCCCGAGCCCGCAGCCCCGCGCTGTTCAGCGGCTGCTCCTGCTCTGCGGCCCTGCGTGTTCCTGCCCACACGGGAACGTTTGAGAGCACGGAGGAGCAGGCAGAGCGCTGGCTGCAGAGCAGCTGGAAGGCGCTAACCCGGCCCTGAACGGCCTCACGCGCGGAGTCAACTTGGAACGGGCCAGGCCCCCGAGCCGCGCTCCCCGCAGGAGCTCCCGGGCCCCAGCCCCGGCCTCTCCCCCAGCCCCGGCCGA